CAGGTTCTACGTCACAATCACGTCCCCACAAGAGCAAGCTTCTGATTGGTTAACGCGGCGCGAATGTACGCTGGAGTTCAGATTTTCGAATTCGAGAGATTCGCGCGAAACGCTCATTAAGCGCGTCAAACGCGCAAAACGCTCCATTCGCCCCGTGCCATTCGCGCAATTTGCGTCATTCGCGCGTATCGCGCCGCAGGATGTCTATTCGCGCGTTTGCATTGACGTAACATGCAAGTCACTCACACTTGACGCGCGTGCCGCGTCTGGTGTGAACGCAGCATAACATGGGCGTTAAATGAATAGTAGTTTATTTATTCACTCAGAGTTTCTGAGATGCAAACCTGGGACATTTTCTTGTGCAGTGCTCAAAATACTATGGAAATCTGACTTGTGAAATACTTACTCGTTTAAAACATTTTGTATATATATTTTTATTCAGGGTTCCGACGCTTCTTGAAAGCACTTGAATTGCAGACATATGGATTCAAGGCCTGGAAAGCACTTCAAAACAAACACAATCAAATGCTGCGTTCACACCAGACACAGAATGCGCGGATAAATCACGCTATTCGCGCGGAAAATTTGAGTTTACTCACTTCATTCGCATGTCAAATCAGCTTCATTCGGGCATCAAATTGACTTCAGAATAGGCGCAGATTAGCGTGATGGGCAGGGCTTCTGTCTGCCCAGTGACTCTAGCTTTATAGCTAAATAGCTAACATGGATTTTATTGAGAGAATAGCAGTGTTTATGTGCTTTATGAAGGCTGAAAAACAGCATTGATACGTTTCGGGTCGTGTCTGAGTCCACTAGATTCTTTCAGAGGTTCATCCAGCTCTCTTAGCTCATAAACTCCTCCAGAAACTGAACTTGGATGATGGAGGCTTTCAGCGGTGCTTCTGACTAAGACGTGCCCAGTTTGATTAACTTTTTGTCGGTGTCAGCTGGAGGATTTCCCCAGGGACTCCAACAACAGGTGTACGTCACAATCACGCCCCCACAAGAGCAAGCTCCTGATTGGTTAACACGGCACGAACGTCCACTGAAGTTCAGACTTTTGAACTCAAGCAATTCGCGCGTCAAACGCGCAAAACGTTCAATCTGCGCTGCGCCATTCGCGCATATCACGCCGCAGGATGTCTATTCGCGCGTTTGCATTGACTTGTAAATCACTCACGCTTGACCCGCGTCTCGTGTGTGAACCCAGCATAAGAGCTCAATTTAATTTAAAATAAAATTAGTTAACGGTGTTATTTCAACAATTGTACTGCGCTGCTGTCAAAACAGAAAAACTAAGAAATTCTTCATTTAAAACAAAAAAAAAAACATTGCACATTCTATTAATATTTCTGTAGCTGCATTTGAATATTAGCAGAATTGAATTCAACTTATTTTATTAAAAGGCACCTATGATGAAAATCAAGTTTTGTAAGCTTTGGGGATAGAAGTGTGCGTAGGTATAGTGTGTCCACAGTCGTATTTGGGTGATATAAACGCGTATCTCTTTTATGAAACATCCTGATGTTAAAATAGGACCCAAATCAGTGATTTTGAGGCCCACCGCAACGTGGTGTAGGAGTGCGGTTTCCCCCACCCTCTGAATTGATTGACAGGCACCATGTTTCTATTTTAACATGTACACACATGTCCACAGTTCTTTTATTAGCAAATAAACTGGGATTAAAATATCTGTTCAATTCCCTGTGATTTTTATAAGTCCAAATTGTTTTTAAAACAGAGCATGTTTGTACAGTAAGTAAAATCGATATCTAATTCTTAACATATATAATTACCACAGAAACATGGTGTCATTAAACTCACATATGTGTGTGAGAACTGCAAACAGCATGTGTGTGACTCATCATTTCAGAAAGGCTTGAATAAACTCCACCACAAACACATCAAATAAACTTACTTGGTATTTTCAACTATTGAGTGGTATTTCAGCTTCATTCGAGTCTGTCTCTATCACTGACTGCTGTTTATCTGACATAACACATGATGAGAAGCAGTCAGAACAGTGGGCGGGGAGAAGCAGCTTATTTGCATTTAAAGCCACAGGCTACAAAAATAGCTACACTGTATTCAGACAGCAAAGTGGGCAGATTCTGGAGGCTATAATAAATAATCTGATGGGTATTTTGAGCTGACACTTTACAGACACATTCTGGAGACATCAAAGGCTTATCTTACAGCTTGTAAACGGGGTAAAATAGCTGCCCTTTAAAGTTCTTTGAACGTGACTGTTTAAAATGACCAATTTGTAAAATTACTCTGACATTTTAACTGTAAATATAAAGTGTAGGTGAAACGTTAAGTACACCCTCAAGGCGCTACATATCTTGGGGTATGAACTACAGTGGGGCTTGATTTTAAATGAATGGTGCTTTAAAAAGTGCTTGAATCTGGTGAAAGTGTGGGAACCCTGTTTCTTAAATAAGCTCTAGTCGAGGATTGTTAAAAATAACATCAACAGGAAGAGTAATCAACACAGGCTCATTCTGAAAACGTACCCCTATATACATTTCTGAAGAGTGCGAATTATGTAGCCAGAGGTATGTATGGCTGCATTTTGTCTTTACAACAAACGCTACAGGGCGGTATGACGCTCACCAGCTGACTGCTTACCTCTGCGTTGACGGCTTTACGGCTGTTAACGGTTGGCTTGACGTGTACGCTGGAGGATTTGAGACGCAGAGAGGAACTGACTTGACAGGGTTCAAGTCTGCCGATGAATGGTTTTGAAAGCAGGTAAAACAAAAATAACATGAGTGAAGTTTCACAAACTAATTTCGAGAGGAGCACGTGATAGGTTTACATTACATTAGTAAGCCAATCGGATCATTCCAAATCTAACATAAACCTCCAGCCTAAGTTCATTCCTCATCTTCTCATTGGAAGACCCCCCATCCATCTCTTCTCCCTCCTCCTGAATTCTAGGATCAGTCGGCTCTGTGGCTAGCACTGCTGCCCCACAGCAAGAAGGTCGTTGGTTCAAGTATCAGCACTTTCTGTTCTGAGTTTACATGTTCTCCCTGTGTTCGTGGGCGATTTCCCCGGATCCTCCGGTTTCCTCCCACAGTCTAAAGACATGTGACACAAGTAAAAGTCACAAGCACTTAATATGTACACACTGGTGAGATTGCCGGCCTATTTACATGGAGCTCTCGAGAACTAGCTGATCTCGTATTCCTCCTAATGCTCATTGACCTGGCGGGAGCCTTGGGACAGCATGCCAAATCTGCTAATATAGGCAAGTGTGAACTCTTGAAACAAGTAAATAACAGTGTGAGAATGTGGTAAGATCTGAAAACGTGGCAAAAATCGGGCTGCCGCGAGGGCTTTTCTTTTCCTGGATTGCTTTGTAAAACACTATCGGTTGGGTTTAGGGAAGGTGGTGGGTGGGGCGATTGGTCGGCCAGTCAGTCAATTGACATCGGCGTCTAGTGGATTTACGTCAAAACAGCAGGCACGAATGGCACTCACGAGAGCAATTTGAGATCTCAAAGCGTACACAGCAGCCACTGGTGGATTTACATGAGAACAGCAGTCGCCAATGCCACTCGCGAGAGAAATTTTAGATGTGAAAAAGCGTACACAGCAGCCTCTGGTGGATTTACGCGAGAACAACAGTCGCGAATGGCACTCGCGGAAGAAATTTGAGATCTGAAAAGTGTACACAGCAGCCTCTGGTGGATTAACATGAGAATAGCAGTCGCGAATGGCACTCGCGGAAGAAATTTGAGATCTGAAAAGTGTACACAGCAGCCTCTGGTGGATTAACATGAGAATAGCAGTCGCGAATGGCACTCGCGGAAGAAATTTGAGATCTGAAAAAGCGTACACAGCAGCCTCTGGTGGATTTACGCGAGAACAACAGTCGCGAATGGCACTTGCTAGAAAAATTTGAGGTCTCAAAAAGCGTACACAGCGGCCTCTGGTGGATTTACGCGAGAACAACCGTCACAAATGGCAATGGCTAGAGAAATTTGAAATCTAAAAGTGTACACAGCAGCCTCTGGTGGATTTACGCTAGAACAGCCGCCGCGAAAAGCACTCGCGAGTGAAATTTGAGATCTGAAAAGCGTACACAGCGGCCTCTGGTGGATTTACGCAAGAACAACCGTCACAAATGGCAATGGTTAGAGAAATTTGAGATCTGAAAAAGTACACAGCAGCCTCTGGTGGATTTACGCGAGAACAACAGTCGCGAATGGCACTCGCTGAAAAAATTTGAGATCTGAAAAGTGTACACAGCAGCCTCTGGTGGATTTACGCAGGAACAACAGTCGCGAATGGCACTTGCTAGAGAAATTTAAGATCTCAAAAAGCGTACACAGCGGCCTCTGGTGGATTTACGACAGAACAACCGTCACAAATGGCAATGGTTAGAGAAATTTGAGATCTGAAAGTGTACACAGCAGCCTCTGGTGGATTTATGTGAGAACAGCAGTCGTGAATGGCACTCGCGAGAGAAATTTGAGATCTGAAAAAGCGTACACAGCAGCCTCTGGTAGATTTACGCGAGAACAACAGTCACGAATGGCACTTGCTAGAAAAATTTGAGATCTCAAAAAGCGTACACAGCAGCCTCTGGTGGATTTTTGTGAGAACAACCGTCACAAATGGCATTGGAGAAATTTGAAATCTAAAAGTGTAAACAGCAGCCTCTGGTAGATTTACGTTTCAAAGAGCCGTTGCAAATAGCACTCGCGAGAGAAATGATTTCTGAAAAAGTGTACACAGCAGCCTCTGGTGGATTTGTGAAAACACAAATCCACCTGAGATTTGGTGAAAAAAAAAAAACATATCTCCTGGGATGTATTTGGCGCTCTCTAGAAATGTATATAGAGGTACTTAATCAGAATGAGCCTGTGTTGAGAGTAATAGTAACATAATTTAAATAATTAAAAATGTATCAAGGTTTTCATAAATGGTGTATTGTTATTGTGATTGCTGCTGCTAATCTGCTAGTCATGCGGTGTGCTTTTCCACAGAGGTGGAATGATCCAGACCGAGGAACAGTACGAGTTCGTGCACCATGCCTTGAGTCTCTATGAAAGTGGCCTTCCTGCAGAGGCCGGACAATGAGTTTGAACATGAACTGGAGCTTCTCCTTTCATATCAGGAGATCTGCTTTAGCCATGAGCTTTCTGAGGAGGCCGGAGATCATGTTTTTAAGGTAGATCTGCAGGGATTATTAAAGTCTAAGGCAAGTATTGCACACTGTTATCGTCAAAACATGTATTTTTGGCATGGCTCCTCAAAAGAAACAGACGTTGTGATTTGTAAGGCTGTTTTGACGCTGGATCAAAGGTTCACTCTACAAGGTATCATTCTAATGTCAATTTTTTAAAGTCTAGAAACCGTATGTACAACTTTTATATCAGTTGTCTTCTTTTGATCTGTCAGATTAATCGTCTGTGCGTCGTACAATACTGAATTGTCTTTATGCTGCAGTATAAATGAGGTATTCACGTTCTGTGTATGACAGTATGATAATCCGACGTCGGCGATCGAATCTATTCATGTTTGTATTGTTTGTTAACAATTTACGATATTTTTTTCTACTCTTTCTGACTGTGTTTTCTGCGCCGCCGCTGCTGGATTTAGACCTCTGCGAAAAAAATGTTCAATCCTGAATGTGAACGTTAGAGACTGAATGCCTCAAAACGTTGTGTTGTGTCGTCCGGAGTGAAAACACACAACGAACAGCAGTCGAATTCGATTGTTTAACTTAAAAATATGGGTTGCTTTAATTATCTAGAGACTTTCTAAATCTGGCACTGACCCTGAGCCGAAGTGGAATTTTAATAATCCTTATTATACGAGATAGAGATCCTATCAAACTGAACAAAATTAATAGAACTATTCAGTTCGCGACAGCTACGAAACCAAATTAAACAAAAGCAAATTCAATTGGGATAAAAATATGTAAATATACTTTATAATGTATCTAAAATATTAAATCAATATCATTTGCATCTAGAAGTAACACGAATTACTAATATTTTAATACGCCTCTCTCCTGAAACGCTTACATTTTTAGTACGATGGTTGACGTATACTGGGACCACGAGGATTTTGCTGCTAATACCGCAATTGTTTATTGCTTTAGGAATTAAATATATGTGTGAATATTCCTAAGATATTCGTTTTTTTGTATTGTATTTATTATTTTGAGAATTATTATTATAATAACGGATACTTTTATAAAATATGGTAATTGTCAGTGCGCACTGTTACGCTATATACTTTCCACTATGTGGGCTTTAATGTTAGGCAGTCGGTGACTTTACCCGTGTACGCTTCATGACGATTGATGTGAATACTGTAAATAACTTTCATAATAACCATCTTATAGTCTGCACATATGGATGTCTCGCGCAGCCAAACTGGTGATCTGAGCTGTTTCGAATCTATGGTTGTGGTAGAATTGACTATAGTCTTGTGTTATGGGATGTATATTATATATGCATAACTTGGTCCGGGTCAACATGTCAAAGATGTTTGTTAGTGCTAGACAGACGGTCATTCGCATTGTACGTTCGGTCCTTTAACGATGTCAAATCATCACCCTAAGCCATAATACTACATGTTTACATTATGTTTGTTCATCAGTTATGCTGTTAACGAAACCTGTCACGTCAACGAGTGTTTTCGAAAGCAAGTGTAACTTCGCCTAATCGAAAAACAGACACAGAAAGCGTGACTTTGTGGTGATTACTGCCAATAAATGAATCCTCAGATGAGTTCTAAGACTCTTATTTTGACGTTTTTTTTTTCTTTCTGTATGTCCTGTCTCCTCATTTTTCTAGGTTTTTACACGTGTAGACTGTAGATTAATTCCCTTGTGGGGTTAAGATTGAGGGTTTCCACTAATCCTCAGTGTCCTCTATGAGGAATCACAGCAGAGACTCAACCTTGATACACAGCACAGACAAAATCTGTTATTCGAAACCTCTTTAGAGGTCCCAACCCAGCAGGCACACAACATCATAACACGTAACCAACGGTGATCAACATTCAATGTGTGTTATTTTGGCGTCCAATGTAACAATGTCAATTCATGTTAATATTTGGTCGTTTTTACGTTGTGTTGGAAAGTGACCAAAATCCAACGTCAAGCCAACATCTTAAACGAACGTCAAATTGACATCAAACAATGACATTTATTCATCAGGTATGGCGACCAAAATCCAACATCTGATAAACGTCATAAAGGTAACGTCCACACAACGTCAAGCTGTAACATTATTCGACGTTGATATTTGGTTGATTTAAGGTTGTGTTGAAAAGTGACCAAAATTACGCTGAGCCAACATCTTAAACCATCTTCATATTGACGTCAAATACTGACATTTATTCGTCGGGTATGGCGACCAAAATCCAACGTCTGATAGACGTCATAGTGGTAACATTCACACAACGTCAAGCTGTAACATCATTAGACGTTGATATTTGGTTGATTTTATGTTGTGTTAGAAAGTGACCAAAATCCAACGTCGAGCCAACATCTTAAACCAACGTCATATTGACGTCAAATACTGACATTCGTCAGGTATGGAAACCAAAATCCAACGTCTGATAGACGTCATAGTGGTTACGTCCACACAACTTCAAGCTGTAACATAGTTAGACATTGATATTTGGTTGTTTTTAGGTTGTGTTGAAAAGTGACCAAAATTACGCTGAGCCAACATCTTAAACCATCTTCATATGGACGTCAAATACTGACATTTATTCATCATGTAAGGCAACCAAAATCCAATGTCTGATAGACGTCATAGTGGTAACGTTCACACAACGTCAAGCTGTAACATCATTAGACGTTGATATTTGGTTGATTTTATGTTGTGTTAGAAAGTGACCAAAATCCAACGTCGAGCCAACATCTTAAACGAACGTCAAATTGACGTCAAACAATGACATTCATCAGGTATGGCGACCAAAATCCAACATCTGATAAACGTCATAAAGGTAACGTCCACACAACGTCAAGCTGTAACATTATTCGACGTTGATATTTGGTTGATTTAAGGTTGTGTTGAAAAGTGACCAAAATTACGCTGAGCCAACATCTTAAACCATCTTCATATTGACGTCAAATACTGACATTTATTCATCAGGTATGGCAACCAAAATCCAACGTCTGATAGACGTGATAGTGGTAACATTCACACAACCTTAAGCTGTAACATAGTTAGACGTTGATATTTGGTTGTTTTTAGGTAGTGTTGTAAAGTGACCAAAATTGAACGTTGAGCCAACTTCTTCAACCAACGTCATATGGACGTCAAATTCTGACATTTATTCATCATGTAAGGCAACCAAAATCCAACGTCTGATAGACGTCATAGTGGTAACGTTCACACAACGTCAAGCTGTAACATCATTAGACGTTGATATTTGGTTGATTTTATGTTGTGTTAGAAAGTGACCAAAATCCAACGTCGAGCCAACATCTTAAACCAACGTCATATTGACGTCAAATACTGACATTCGTCAGGTATGGAAACCAAAATCCAACGTCTGATAGACGTCATAGTGGTAACGTCCACACAACTTCAAGCTGTAATATAGTTAGACATTGATATTTGGTTGTTTTTAGGTTGTGTTGGAAAGTGACCAGAATCTAACGTCGAGCCAACATCTTAAACTAACATCATATTGACGTCAAATACTGACATTTATTCGTCGGGTATGGCGACCAAAATCCAACGTCTGATAGACGTCATAGTGGTAACGTTCACACAACGTCAAGCTGTAACATATTTGGTTGTTTTTGTGTTGGAAATGGACCAAAATTCTACGTCTGTCTGAAGTTGGACACTGATGTCGATCTGACGTTATGTTCTGACGTCAACCCGATTTTTATTTCCACCCAAAATACAACGTCCCATAATCTGCCATCGTGTTGATGTCCTGTGCCTGCTGGGAAAGCTCTTACACAATAAAGGAAGATTCAGAAGCAGGAATTCCTTTAATAAAATCAGCTCATGTAGTGCACATGGTAAAAAAGCTAAAACGAGACGTTTGAGGCTTTGTCTTATGTCATTTATTAACACCATTATTTGTGCACAGAATGATTCCAATAGGGAACAACTGTTATTTGTATTTGCAAGCTACAGAAGAATAAAAGTTCATCCTCTGTGGTCTATTGATTATACATGTCAGAAAACGAATGTCCAATTTATGTCAGCGGTCTATATACAGTCTATTGATATTAGCATACAACATAAATAATTACGACTGGTGGTTTGCATGTACATAAGTGAATCATAAAAAAAGGTTTATAAGTATATAAAGTATAAAAATAAAGCTTATGTCTTTCTCATGCACTGCTATTAATACTATTGGTACAACACAAACCCTGCTCTTCTTTTCTTGTCCAACACAGCCAAATGTCTTAGTGATCCTGTGTACAAAAACTCTGAAAAAAAAAAAAAAAAATACATGGAATATTTAGATATGGCACTTCATTATGGAAGCCCATTCCCACCACTGAATAATTAAAAAAAGGAAATTAATTAAAAAAAAAAAAAAAGTATAAAGTCAGAATTCAGAGTTAATTCGTAATTCTGCCTTAACTCGCTATCATGATTTTAAAACTTGGATTTTTTACTTTACAACTCAGAATTGCGACAACTCAGAATTTAGACTTTTTAACTCAGAATTGCGACTTAATAACTCAGAATTGTTACTTAAAAACAGAATTGCAACTCAACTCAGAATTGAGATTTAAAAACTCAGAATTGCGACTTAACTCAGAATTGCGACTTAACTCAGAATTGCGATTTAAAAACTCAGAATTGCGACTTTGTAACTCAGAATTGCGACTTTGTAACTCAGAATTGCGACAACTCAGAATTTAGACTTTTTAACTCAGAATTGCAACTTAATAACTCAGAATTGTTACCTAAAAACAGAATTGCGACTTAACTCAGAATTGCGATTTAAAAACTCAGAATTGCGACTTAATAACTCAGAATTGTTACTTAAAAACAGAATTGCAACTCAACTCAGAATTGAGATTTAAAAACTCAGAATTGCGACTTAACTCAGAATTGCGATTTAAAAACTCAGAATTGCGACTTAACTCAGAATTGCGACTTAACTCAGAATTGCGATTTAAAAACTCAGAATTGCGACTTTGTAACTCAGAATTGCGACTTTGTAACTCAGAATTGCGACAACTCAGAATTTAGACTTTTTAACTCAGAATTGCAACTTAATAACTCAGAATTGTTACCTAAAAACAGAATTGCGACTTAACTCAGAATTGAGATTTAAAAACTCAGAATTGCGACTTAACTCAGAATTGCGACTTTGTAACTCAGAATTGCGACTTAATAACTCAGAATTGCGATTTAAAAACTCAGAATTGCGACTTAATAACTCAGAATTGTTACTTAAAAACAGAATTGAAACTCAACTCAGAATTGCGATTTAAAAACTCAGAATTGCGACTTAACTCAGAATTGCGACTTAATAACTCAGAATTGTTACTTAAAAACAGAATTGCAACTGTAACTCAGAATTGCGATTTAAAAACTCAGAATTGTGACTTAACTCAGAATTGCGACTTAATAACTCAGAATTGTTACTTAAAAACAGAATTGCGACTGTAACTCAGAACTGTGATTTAAAAACTCAGAATTGCAACTTTATAACTCAAAATTGCGACTTAATAACTCAAAATTGCGATTTAAAAACTCAGAATTGCGACAACTCAGAATTGCGATTTAAAAACTCAGAATTGCGACTTAACTCAGAATTGCGATTTAAAAACTCAGAATTGCGACTTAACTCAGAATTGAGACTTAAAAACTCAGAATTGCGACTTAACTCAGAATTGTGACTTTGTAACTCAGAATTGCAACTTAATAACTCAGAATTGCGATTTAAAAACTCAGAATTGCGACTTAATAACGCAGAATTGTTACTTAAAAACAGAATTGCAACTCAACTCAGAATTGCGATTTAAAAACTCAGAATTGCGACTTAACTCAGAATTGCGACTTAATAACTCAGAATTGTTACTTAAAAACAGAATTGTGACTGTAACTCAGAATTGTGATTTAAAAACTCAGAATTGCAACTTTGTAACTCAGAATTGCGATTTAAAAACTCAGAATTGCAACTTAATAACGCAGAATTTTTACTTAAAAACAGAATTGCAACTCAACTCAGAATTGCGATTTAAAAACTCAGAATTGCGACTTAACTCAGAATTGCGACTTAACTTAGAATTGAGATTTAAAAACTCAGAATTGCGACTGTAACTCAGAATTGAGATTTAAAAACTCAGAATTGCGACTTAATAACGCAGAATTGTTACTTAAAAACAGAATTGCAACTCAACTCAGAATTGCGATTTAAAAACTCAGAATTGCGACTTAACTCAGAATTGCGACTTAATAACTCAGAATTGTTACTTAAAAACAGAATTGCAACTGTAACTCAGAATTGCGATTTAAAAACTCAGAATTGCGACTTAACTCAGAATTGCGACTTAATAACTCAGAATTGTTACTTAAAAACAGAATTGCAACTGTAACTCAGAATTGCGATTTAAAAACTCAGAATTGCGACTTAATAACTCAGAATTGTTACTTAAAAACAGAATTGCGACTGTAACTCAGAATTGTGATTTAAAAACTCAGAATTGCAACTTTATAACTCAGAATTGCGACTTAATAACTCAGAATTGCGATTTAAAAACTCAGAATTGCGACAACTCAGAATTGAGATTTAAAAACTCAGAATTGCGACTTAACTCAGAATTGAGATTTAAAAACTCAGAATTGCGATTTAAAAACTCAGAATTGCGACTTTGTAACTCAGAATTGCAACTTTGTAACTCAGAATTGCGACAACTCAGAATTTAGACTTTTTAACTCAGAATTGCAACTTAATAACTCAGAATTGTTACCTAAAAACAGAATTGCAACTCAACTCAGAATTGAGATTTAAATACTCAGAATTGCGATTTAAATACTAAGAATTGCGACTTAACTCAGAATTGAGATTTAAATACTAAGAATTGCGACTTAACTCAGAATTGCGACAACTCAGAATTTAGACTTTAAATCAGAATTGCGACTTAATAACTCAGAATTGTTACTTAAAAACAGAATTGAGACTTAAAAACTCAGAATTGCGACTGTAACTCAGAATTGTGATTTAAAAACTCAGAATTGCAACTTTATAACTCAGAATTGCGACTTTGTAACTCAGAATTGCGACTTAATAACTCAGAATTGCGATTTAAAAACTCAGAATTGCGACTTAATAACTCAGAATTGTTACTTAAAAACAGAATTGCAACTCAACTCAGAATTGCGATTTAAAAACTCAGAATTGCGACTTAATAACTCAGAATTGTTACTTAAAAACAGAATTGCGACTGTAACTCAGAATTGTGATTTAAAAACTCAGAATTGTGACTTAACTCAGAATTGCGACTTAATAACTCAGAATTGTTACTTAAAAACAGAATTGCGACTGTAACTCAGAATTGTGATTTAAAAACTCAGAATTGCAACTTTATAACTCAGAATTGCGACTTAATAACTCAAAATTGCGATTTAAAAACTCAGAATTGCGACAACTCAGAATTGCGATTTAAAAACTCAGAATTGCGACTTAACTCAGAATTGCGATTTAAAAACTCAGAATTGCGACTTAACTCAGAATTGCGATTTAAAAACTCAGAATTGCGATTTAAAAACTCAGAATTGCGACTTTGTAACTGAGAATTGCAACTTAATAACTCAGAATTGCGATTTAAAAACTCAGAATTGCGACTTAATAACGCAGAATTGTTACTTAAAAACAGAATTGCAACTCAACTCAGAATTGCGATTTAAAAACTCAGAATTGCGACTTAACTCAGAATTGGGACTTAATAACTCAGAATTGTTACTTAAAAACAGAATTGTGACTGTAACTCAGAATTGTGATTTAAAAACTCAGAATTGCAACTTTATAACTCAGAATTGCGACTTTGTAACTCAGAATTGCGATTTAAAAACTCAGAATTGCGACTTAATAACGCAGAATTTTTACTTAAAAACAGAATTGCAACTCAACTCAGAATTGCGATTTAAAAACTCAGAATTGCGACTTAACTCAGAATTGAGATTTAAAAACTCAGAATTGCGACTGTAACTCAGAAATGTGATTTAAAAACTCAGAATTGCAACTTTATAACTCAAAATTGCGACTTTGTAACTCAGAATTGCGACTTAATAACGCAGAATTACGACTTAATAACTTAGAATTCTGACTTTATATTCTTACATTGTATTTATTTGGTATTTTTTTTAATTCAGTGGCGGGAAGTTGCTTCCGTTTTTCATGGTTACTTTATATTGTGCCCTGAATAAAGTCTGCATGTCACTATCCAAATGAGACATACCTTACCTTACCTTTAAATGATGTTGTTGTATATGGGGAAAAGGGGGTTATCTCGTTCACAGCCAAGTTTGCGAGCCCTCAAAACATCCCGCACACACTGATGGATATAAGCATACTGACACTGCAAGAGACAAGATAATTATGTCAGGGTGCTTATAAACCAATTGTCATTAAACCTACAGAGACAAACTAGACAATACACATCAGGGACAAAAGACACAGATAAACTATGAATGGTTTTGTCTTGCTAGTAGGATTCTAGGGTGCTTTCACATCTGCAGTTCGCTTCATTTGGTCAGCAACAAGGGTAATAAATGATACATTGTTGCATCTTCTGCCGTCTTTGGGTCGTTTTCACACCACACTGCTGGCTTTGGTTCGAACCAGTTGAGACGAACCAAAATGCAGTCATCTGACAAAATCCACATCTCTCATTGGCCAGATGTTGTTGAACATATTTCCTAAACTGCTTATTGATTGGTCAGAATTCACGTTCGGGAAAATGCCAATGAACTCCCGCAGGTAAACAAAACCGGCAGACACAAAATGACTCTTTTTACTATGAAGGAACGACTGCGCTGACTGATTGTATCCCTGCTTTAGACAAACTATACATTTCGAGAATGAAGCGCAGCCGCGGCTGGAAAACAGGGTTTTAATGCATCGCTCGTCACTTCAGGAGGAGGCGTGAATTAATTTAGCTAAACTGCGACATGGGCATCTTGTGGAAATATTACCAACGATCCATCAGGTAATGTTTTCCCTCTCTTCCTCTTTCCCTCGCATCGGCCTACGGTAGCTGAATTAGTCCGAAAGTCGTAGTACTTTTTGCGGTTGGACCTGTTTTAGTTCGGATCATATTCTCACCACAAACGAACCGCTCCGTTCGTTTGAAAGCGTACCGAGACCACCTCTTCAAGCAGGTCTCGGTACGCTTATTTGGTCCGCTTTTGGTCCGCACTCGAGTACGATTGCTGCATTCTCACCTGCCCAAACGAACCGCACCAAAAGGGGAAACGAACTGTAGTGTGATTCAATAGAACTAAATAAGGCAGGTGTGAAAGCACCCCTAGTTATGACTTGTTTGTGGTGTGATTGTTGGGGCTAGTTGTAGATGTGTTTGGAAAGAACTCGTAACATTCGAATTATATTTTGGCAAATTGAACTTTACCACAGCTACACAAGATCATAGATAGCTCATGTTTGATGTCCCTGCAAAGCCAATTTGGTGTACTGAACGATGGTTTACATTTCATGTTAATACGTGTGCAAGATTTTAAGAAACTTGAACATTCCTGCATCAGTTTACACCAAAAATGCCTATGCAAATGAACATGCTTTGAAACCAAAACGTCTTATTGGTCAACTTGGCTCTGGAGGGTGGGTACAAAACCATCCTTATAAAAGCTACTAGCCTAAGGCCCCACCCGAGGCCAGAGAAAAGCGCCCAAGCTAGATGGAGACTACAGGCCAAAGAAAGACTTGAACCCAACACAGAGAACCACTGAGGACTCCAGGGAGCAGGCGGGGACCCAGACAAAATGGGTTAATCGCACAGCTCAGACATTCGCATTTCTGATACCTTCCTTTCTTTCTTTTCCGTCGAGAGTCTAGTTAAGTTTAGTGCGCCTCAAACCAGTAGTCAAACACGACTAGCCTTTTTGCCGCTCTCAAAACTTGAATCGACCAACTCCACCCCACTCCAAGCCTCGCGAGGTCAAAGAACAATCAGCTAGCCACATGCTCAACAGACGGTGTTTCTTCACATCACAAAAGGAATCCAAGTATCACTTCAAGGCTACATCTGAACTGGTGTACAGTAAAGACAACCCTAAAGAGACCTTATAAGGGTTCAATTGATTATTTTTGGTTCGCTTGGTTTGGTCTTACAAAATCTGAGGTTTCCCCGTCATTATGCTCTCTCAAACTCTTATTTTACTTCCTTTACTCTTCTCTACACTTGTATGAATGTGTGTTTGGGTTAGGTTTGTGACTTTGCTCAGACAAAAGTCTGGTCACTGAACAGAAATAATGTCCAGTATAGAATATAAAGTCCTGCTGCAGTGGAGACAGAATGAACATTGTGTCCGACTCCATCATGAGCTTGGAGGACTGCATCCATACATCTCTGCACTGACTCAAATCAATTATTAATAAAGTCATGTGGAATGGCAAAGAAAGCGTTCCTGCAGAAAAATCTACCTTTTCCAAATGATTAACTAGAAGTCAAGGTATTATTTGTTGCTCTTACAAATGGGATTGATGACAACTGGAAATATTATATTAGGCGTGAAAAGAGGGCAAAATAAATGTGACTCTTACCTCGGTTTGTACCATGTATGAGCGATGCAGGCGCAGGTCAAACACACAGCCGTAAATGTCCACTGTGCAGTTCCTGTCTAGTTGCTGTAAAGCACGATCCAGCACTATGAAAGTCCCAGTTCGACCCACACCAGCACTGAGAGTAAAAAAACATAATGAAACTGATGTGTGAGCGCTCAAACAAGTCTGATGAAGAAGATCAAGTCTAGCTGATGAATACCTGCAGTGTACTACGGAGATTCCAGGACTGTTTGTCCTGTTGATGAAATCTCGGACTGTTCGCACAAACTGGATAAGAGACTGAGTTGTGTCCGGGACGCCGTGATCTGGCCAGATGGTGTAATGGAACTGACGCACCATCCTGGGGTATCTCAGCTGACTCTCCTGAAAAACGAGTTTGGGTTATGAGGTTGCATCTACTAACGTCCACATTTTACACGGCGGTGGTGTCAAGTCACTAATTCTGAATACTCAAATGACTGCAAGGGAATGATTTTTAATCAGGAATTGTCAACGTGTTCTTTGACTTTCAGTCGTTTTTAGTGCCGTATTGGTACTTTTACACCATTATATTCCATCAACCTGCAGTCTCTGCTTTATTTTTCTAGTCTATGGGGATTGGCAGAGTAGAGAAATCAGTCCTGTGATTCGTGTCCAATCAATCACAGAAACTAAAATGCTTCACACTGAACTACCTTTATAAATGCAGCAAACTGTCTGGAAGCATTCAGAGTGTCTAAGAAGAGGTTCAAAATCTTTACACGCAATGACATGTTAGCCGGCATGTCACTGAATGTTAACTGTAAAATCGCCATAAACAATTACTAAATGCACTTAAATGCACTTATTGCTGCCGAGTGTGACGCGGCTGGGATGAAAATCAGCACCTCCAAGTCCAAGGCCATGGTGGTCCACCGGAAAAAGGGGGTTTGCCATCTCCAGGTTGGAGGAAAGTCCTTACCCTAGGTAGAGGAGTTTGAGTATCTCAGGGTTTTGTTCACGAGTGAGGGAAGGATGGAGCGTGAGATTGACAGGCTGATTGGTGCAGTGGCAGCAGTAATGCGGTCGATGTACCAGTCCGTAGTGAAGACGAAGCTGAGCCGAAAGGCAAAGCTCTCGATTTACCGGTCAATCTACATACCTACTCTCACCTACGGTCATGATCGAAAGGACAAGATCTCGGAAACAAGCGGCCGAAATGAGTTTCCTTCGCAGGGTGGCAAGGCGCACTCTTATGGATAGGACGAGGAGCTCTGACACCCGGGAGGAGCTCGGAGTAGAGCCGCTGCTCCTCCACATCGAGAGAAGTCAGCTGAGGTGGCTGGGATATCTGTTTCAGATGCCTCCTGGACGCCTACATAGGGAGGTGTTCCAGGCATGTCCCACCGGGAGGCAGCCTCAGGGGAAGATCCAGGACACGCTGGAGGGACTATGTCTCTCGGCTGGCCTGGGAACACCTCGAGATCCCCCCGGAGGAGCAGGAGGAAGTGTCTGGGGAGAGGGAAGTCTGGGGTTCTCTCCTAAGACTGTGCCCCCGCGACCCGGCCCCGGAAAAGCGGCAGAAAATGAATGAATGAATGCACTACAGAATGTTACGTTTTCACACAAATTAAATGCTGTATTCTCGAGCACACACACTTGTTCTACACTAGGAGAACTTATAACAGTGGTACCATACTCCACCTTGTGGTCGGATTCAACCAAGCACATACATCACAAACGCTTCAGTCTTTGTGTAATACTCACTACTCATGAGTACTTTAAAAACGGATTCTGTTTACCCATACTCAGAGTAATATTCACTACATTTATGGTCAAGTAATAGTACTTTTAGCAGAGTATGATTTTTCTGTACTCTTTCCAACACTGATTATTATATACTTTGCATAGGCATGTACCCTTTTAATCTCTAAAATGAGCATTTTTATCAGGATCCTGTGTGTAGGTTCAGCAATGTCCCATTTATGGCAAAGAATAAGTCCTTGTTCTGGTCTTTAAAGTAAATTACTCAGCATACACAAAAGAGGCTGAGAAAAATGTTCATTTTCGATAGAAATTTGAGACGGAACTTCTCATATACTATTGAATATACTGAATAACTGAATATGATTCTGCATGTTCTAATAGTTTACTTCTTTAAAAAAGACACATTTGCACAATTAAAGCGGTAGCTCACCCAAAAATGACAATTCTGTCATCATTTACCCATTTGTTTGGCTCTCTTTCTTCTGTTTTTGAAAATGACCTTCCCAACGCAGCTCTAAGTGAAGTGAAATGTCCAGCTAAGGCTAAAATTTGAAAGTGCGCCATGTTTAAAACTATTAATTCATAAAAAAAAAAAAAAGAAAAAAAAAAGAGTTGACTAGAGTAGTTTGAATTAAACACATTAGTAACGAGTCTTTAGCCGTGCTGGCGTGACGTCGATACGGAATTTAAGTCCTGCCCATTTGGTGCGTAGCAGACCCAGGAAAATTAAAACCCCTGGTCCCGCCCACACACACAGTAGCAGATCCCGGTTGAATCATGTCTGTGCTCTGAAGTGTGAGGGAAAGTTAGTGTTATTTTCCCTACCCAAACATGTGAAGAGGCTGTGAAGAGTCAGTGGTTGAAGTTTATTTTTGCAGAAATACCTCAGCAATATAGCCCTAGCCTTGTGCTGTGTTCCTGCCATTTTTCAGACGAGTGCTTCAGCGATCTACAAGCTTACAACAGGGGATTCTTCGGCCGTTTGTTAAAGGAAGGATCAGAAAAAACTATTGATGTGTAGAAGTTTGTCAGAGCTCGACAGGAACTTTACAGTGCACAGTTCATGGACCATCCATTTCACAAGTGTAAGTGAGATTAAAATGGCTGCCTTCTTGTTTTCTCTAGCTTGCAAATTCTGAATTAAATTATGATTTGTTACTTGTAACCGCATGTACGATATCTGGTTAACTTTTTATATTCTCATATCGCGTCTAAACCATGTTGAAAACACGAAGCTGCCACTTTGTTTATGGATTTAAATGTGTTTGTTTGTCTTCGGTATGGCCACTATCAGCTGTTCTTAGACACGTGCGGCAGTCAAGTTTTAAAACAGTAGTGATGGGTCGTTCATGAACAATTCATTCTTTTTGAACGAATCTTCAATATGATTCAGGAACTACGAGTCCTCTCAGGGAGTGATTCGTTCATCCGCGCGTGCGCACATTTGTGCAGGTAGTATCGTTAAATTGAAGTCTTCATCACATTGGCAGAAGCCAATCATACGCGTTTAGAGCCGGAAAACAATTGATCTGCTCACCTCTCGAGTCCTCTATCGGGTCCTCGGGTTTGAGTCATTCTGTCAAGTGATGAATGAACGATCATGGCTCCTATCGACTTAGACTGTGCATTGATTAAAATTATATGTGACTGTCAGTGTAACGTGAATGAACCCCTGACATTTGAAGACATGAAGAGGTGAGCTGAGCAAAGAGACAACAATACCTTCATAGACAAAAGAGCAGGTAAAAATTGAATTATTATTTTCTCCTTCTTATAGTATTCAACTTATGACTTATTTGTCGTGTGATCAACCTTTTGGGTTAGTTGTAGATGTGTTTGGAAGCAATTCGTAACATTTTAATAATATTTTGGCAAATTGAACCAAATAAACGAAATGACTCGAAAAAAGATTCGTTCATCTTGATGAACGAGACTCAAATATCCGAGTCAGTAAAATGATTCGAACTTCCCATCACTATAAAACAGTTCAGCCTTTGCCGCTGTGTGGATTAATACTGAATGTGTGTTTACTTACGGTTAAAAATAGAGCAATATGCTGGTGTTTAACTAACTCTAGCTCTAAGGAGGGGTTTGGGAACAAATTAATTGTTGAACGAATCACATGGGAGTCATTGGGATAATTTGGTAAAAGTAAATTCATATTGTAGTGTCGGAACAAGGTTCTTTTCACAAGGTGGGGTTGTTAGCCCCGTGCCCAACCCTCCTCCTTTCTCATCCGGGCTTGGGACCGAGGCGGAATTCGGGAAGCCGATGATTCGGGATGCAGATCAGACTGTTGTTGGAAACCTCCAAAACCAAAATATGACCCTTTTTAATGCATAATAGGGCCTTTTTAATATAATAAAGATGTACTGAAGAAAGCTGGAACAATTGACTTCTATAATATTTGTTTTTCTTCCTCTGGTTAGCTTTATTTACTTAACATAATCAAATACATCATTTGGAAACTAGAGAAAACAATGAGGCAGCCATTTTAATCTCACTTACTTACACTTGTGAAATGGAGGAAGAAACTGGTCCATGAACTGTGCACTGTAAAGTTCCTGTCGAGCTCTGACAATGTCCCATACATCAGTAGTCTTTTCTGATCCTTCCTTTAACAAACGGCCGAAGAATCCCTTATTGTAAGCTTGTAGATCGCTGAAGCACTCGTCAGAAAAATGGCAGGAACACAGCACAAGGCTAGGCCTATAATGCTGAGGTATTTCTGCAAAAATAAACGTCCTTCACAGCCTCTTCACATGTTTGGGTAGGGAAAATAACACTAACTTTCCCTCACACTTCAGAGCACAGACATGATTCAACCGGGATCTGCTACAGTGTGTGTGGGCGGGGCCGCAGGTTTTAATTTTCCCGGGTCTGCTCATGCAGAAAATGGGCGGAGCTTGAGTTCCATATTGACGTCACGGAATAAGGAAGGTTAGCTTTCTTCACAATGTCTTCTTTAGTTTTCAACAGAAGAAAGAGATTCAAACAGGTTTGAAAGCACGTGAGGGTGTGTTAGTAGTGAGTAAATTGTCATTTTTGGGTGAATTACCCCTTTAAAGTTCCTAGATGAAAAAGACTCCACTTACGCATGATATTTTGAAGTCCCGAATGGTCCACTCTGGAAAGACCTTCTCAGAAAGCAGCTGCACCACAATGTCTCCATAGCACAAAGGCTCGCTGTCCGTCGGCCAGTAGTGGTCACACTTTACCTGAATCAGACACATTTTCACAAAATTATGACATGAGATCAGCGCACGGTACAAAAGCAAAAGCACCAGAAGCGTCTTCTTCACTCACCATGCCTCTTTCCACACACTGCGTCACCATTACTAGGCTGTGCACATTTTGTTCCCACACCATTCGCCAAAAATCGTCCTTGGTACCTGGCAGAGGCCCTTGTGTGGCGATATACTCCCATCTGAAATTGTTTCCCTGTTAAAAAGTTAACAAAAACATCACTGTTCACTGGGTGCTCAGCCAAAACGCAAAAAGTGCTAAATATATATTCAATAGGCGCAGGGCCGGAGCAAGCTGACCTGCCGCTCTAGGCAAAGGACGGTTATGACATAACTGATGGCGCGGGTGGTGAGGGTAGTGTCGCGGACGCCGCCCTAGACGCGGATATAACTGAGGGCGCGGGTGGTGAGGGTAGTGTCGGGGACGCCGCCCTAGACATGGACATAACTGAGGGCGCGGGTGGTGAGGGTAGTGTCGCGGACGCCGCCCTAGACGCGGATATGACTGAGGGCGCGGGTGGTGAGGGTAGTGTCAGGGACGCCGCCCTAGACATGGACATAACTGAGGACGCGGGTGGTGAGGGTAGTGTCGCGGACGCCGCCCTAGACGCGGATATAACTGAGGGCGCGGGTGGTGAGGGTAGTGTCGGGGTTGCCAACCTAGACATGGACATAACTGAGGGTGCGGGTGGTGAGGGTAGTGTCGCAGACGCCGCCCTAGACGCAGATATAACTGAGGGCGTGGGTGATGAGGGTAGTGTCGGGGACGCCGCCCTCTGTATTTTGCCGCCCTAGACGCGGACATAACTGAGGGCGCGGGTGATGAGGGTTGTGTCGCGGACGCCGCCCTAGACGAGGATATAACTGAGGGCGCGGGTGGTGAGGGTAGTGTCGGGGACGCCGCCCTCTGTATTCTGCCGCCCTAGACGCGGACATAACCGAGGACGCAGGTGGTGAGGGTACTGTTGCGGACGCAGCCCTAGACGCGGATATAACTGAGGGCGGGAGAGGTGAGGGTTGTGTCGGGGATGCCGCCCTCTGTATTCTGCCGCCCTAGGCAGCCGCCTAGGTCGCCTCTATGGACGCGCCGGCCCTGAATAGGCGACAACACCAAAGCTCCAAAAATGCATATTACATTAAAAAGGCTGACACAAAACATACTATTTACATGGACATTCGTACCATCCAGTACCATTAAATCATTTGTTACCTATGTCTCAATTTAGTCGTAAGTTGGGACGGTAGTTTTATGGCTTTTGAAATCGTATTAGTCAAAAAAAGGTAATGATTCGCACTCAAGTAATTGCTTCATACTGTTTTTATTTTATTTCTCTTCCATTCTACGGGTGATTAAAAGTCACGTTTCGGCACAATGCCTTCCTCAGTGTGTGACACAATCCTCTCGAAATCCTTTTAAAATCTTACCCAATACCATCATACAGCATGAAAGAACCAGGATAAAACTGAAAACTACTGTTTTGTTCTGACACACCGAGCCTGGCTTGAGGATGAGTTAATTAGGGGGTCATTTTAATTTTTAGATAAACTATGAACACTATATGAAAGGAACCATCAAAATAAATTGATAACAACATATAAATTTCACACCGAATACAATAATGGGGGTTCAATCATTTTTGGACTATCTTTCGAACGTTGACTACTGTATTTGCAACATTTAAGTTGTGTGAAGACATTTTCAATCAGTATAACAACAACAACACAAAAAAAAGGTTATAAAAATTCTGTCTTTAGCAAGTGACCAAACCACTGAACATGTATTTAACTCACAGGTATATAGTTAGCGTTGATGTAGTCTGAGCAGGGGTCATCCTCCAGACAGGACAGTCTCACCCGCGTGGAGTCGTCTAAAGTTAATCATTAAGGATGTTAATGAGCAGGATTAAACTTCAGGTCAACAAATCAGTACTTCTTTAAATCTACACATGAAGAATTCCAACTGATAGATGTTGCCGTTAATCTACTTACAGGGAAGTATATTGTTGTATCGGTTTTTGTTGCGGTTACCAAGCAGACGTGCAGCATTTTGAGTTTGGATCCGTCCCACGTCCTTTAGGCCCTTTTTAAAATACAGGCAGAGGTTGATGCAATGATCATGATAGCAGATGCTATTAACCAGATTTATAACACAGCTGTCTAGAATACTTGATTCTGATTGGTCAGTCGGTCGGTCAGAATTCTGAGATAACAACCGGTGAATAATGCAGGCTCATCAGGGAACTTCGAACCACCTCGACAGCCACCAATCAGTCAAAAATGCGAAGCTGACAGAAACTAAAACAGCTGATGGAGTATACACTAACCTGCGCATTATTCGGATACAAGATGGCGCCAAACAGTCAAAAACACAACAGAAACTAAAACAGCTGATGGAGTATACACTAACCTGCGCATTATTCAGACACAAGATGGCGCCAAACAGTCAAAAACACAAAAGAAACTAAAACAGCTGATGGAGTATACACTAACCTGTGCATTATTCAGACACAAGATGGAGACAAACAGTCAAAAACACAACAGAAACTAAAACAGCTGATGGAGTATACACTAACCTGCGCATTATTCAGACACAAGATGGCGCCAAACAGTCAAAAACACAAAAGAAACTAAAACAGCTGATGGAGTATACACTAACCTGTGCATTATTCAGACACAAGATGGCGCCAAACAGTCAAAAACACAACAGAAACTAAAACAGCTGATGGAGTATACACTAACCTGCGCATTATTCAGACACAAGATGGCGCCAAACAGTCAAAAACACAAAAGAAACTAAAACAGCTGATGGAGTATACACTAACCTGCGCATTATTCAGACACAAGATCGAGACAAACAGTTAAAAACACAAAGCTGACAGACACTAAAACAGCTGATGGAGTATACACTAACCTGCGCATTATTCAGACACAAGATGGCGCCAAACAGTCAAAAACACAAAAGAAACTAAAACAGCTGATGGAGTATACACTAACCTGCGCATTATTCAGACACTAGATGGACACAAACAGTCAAAAACACAAAAGAAACTAAAACAGCTGATGGAGTATACACTAACCTGCGCATTATTCAGACACTAGATGGACACAAACAGTCAAAAACACAAAAGAAACTAAAACAGCTGATGGAGTATACACTAACCTGCACATTAATCAGACACTAGATGGAGCCAAACAGTCAAAAACACAAAAGAAACTAAAACAGCTGATGGAGTATACACTAACCTGCGCATTATTCAGACACAAGATGGCGCCAAACAGTCAAAAACACAACAGAAACTAAAACAGCTGATGGAGTATACACTAACCTGTGCATTATTCGGACACTAGATGGACACAAACAGTCAAAAACACAAAAGAAACTAAAACAGCTGATGGAGTATACACTAACCTGCGCATTATTCAGACACAAGATGGAGACAAACAGTCAAAAACACAACAGAAACTAAAACAGCTGATGGAGTATACACTAACCTGCGCATTATTCAGACACAACATGGCGCCAAACAGTCAAAAACACAAAGCTGACAGACACTAAAACAGCTGATGGAGTATACACTAACCTGCGCATTATTCAGACACAAGATGGCGCCAAACAGTCAAAAACACAAAAGAAACTAAAACAGCTGATGGAGTATACACTAACCTGCGCATTATTCAGACACAAGATCGAGACAAACAGTTAAAAACACAAAGCTGACAGACACTAAAACAGCTGATGAAGTATACACTAACCTGCGCATTATTCAGACACAAGATGGCGCCAAACAGTCAAAAACACAACAGAAACTAAAACAGCTGATGGAGTATACACTAACCTGCGCATTATTCAGACACAAGATGGCGCCAAACAGTCAAAAACACAACAGAAACTAAAACAGCTGATGGAGTATACACTAACCTGCGCATTATTCAGACACAAGATGGCGCCAAACAGTCAAAAACACAACAGAAACTAAAACAGCTGATGGAGTATACACTAACCTGCGCATTATTCAGACACAAGATGGCGCCAAACAGTCAAAAACACAACAGAAACTAAAACAGCTGATGGAGTATACACTAACCTGCGCATTATTCAGACACAAGATGGTGCCAAACAGTCAAAAACACAACAGAAACTAAAACAGCTGATGGAGTATACACTAACCTGTGCATTATTCAGACACTAGATGGACACAAACAGTCAAAAACACAAAAGAAACTAAAACAGCTGATGGAGTATACACTAACCTGTGCATTATTCAGACACTAGATGGACACAAACAGTCAAAAACACAAAAGAAACTAAAACAGCTGATGGAGTATACACTAACCTGCGCATTATTCAGACACAACATGGCGCCAAACAGTCAAAAACACAAAGCTGACAGACACTAAAACAGCTGATGGAGTATACACTAACCTGCGCATTATTCAGACACAACATGGCGCCAAACAGTCAAAAACACAAAGCTGACAGACACTAAAACAGCTGATGAAGTATACACTGACCTGCGCATTATTCAGACACTAGATGGCGCCAAACAGACAAAAACACAACAGAAACTAAAACAGCTGATGGAGTATACACTAACCTGCGCATTATTCAGACACTAGATGGCGCCAAACAGACAAAAACACAACAGAAACTAAAACAGCTGATGGAGTATACACTAACCTGCGCAATATTCAGACACAAGATGGCACCAAACAGACAAAAAAGCTGGCGTGACAGACCAGCAGATACATATTAATGTGGATGTAAGTATATGGATTTTAATGTATTCACTGACAGTCAAGGTGATTGGAAGTTCCCAGATGAGCCTGTGTTATTTAGCGGTTGTTATCTGAGAATTATACTTTGGAATGTTGAGATTGACCAATCAGTTTCGAGTATTTCAGACCGCCCTTTAATAATCTGCGATAACAACCTCCTAAACATATTTAAGAAAACTTGATATACAGTATAGTGTTGGATTGGATGATATACCTCAAACTCTTCTGACAGAAGGTAACTGGAATCGGATTGAAGTTTAGCAAGGTGGGACTCGAAATTGGCAGCTTGAACTGGGCTAGTGCAAAACAAAGTCAAAATGACAAACGTTAATACTCATAAATTGATCAGTGTTCACTGGAATAAATGCTTTAATCTTGAAATACACTAATATATAAGGATCAATCATACAGAATATTAAGCACATACTATTCACACGTACATGAGCTCTGAATTGTCTCCGAGCTCAACTGTTTGAGGATTAAAATAGTTCACCGCACACACATTCTGCTTTTGTTCAGCAAAGGTCGTGTGAAGTCACCGTGCTGAACAGAAGAATGCCCCTCGGTTTGAAAGTGACAGCTGACGGTAGAAAAATGCTATTATTTTTAGCATCTGAATTACTGCTAGCATGACCGCTTCTATGCATTGAAAGAGAACAAATACTCTAGAGCTCTACAAATAAACAATTATTATGTTTGATGTCAGCCATGGATAAGATACTAATGAACTAACTCTTTCGTCATTTTAAGAGCTTGATGTCGCTTATAACCGCAGCATCCTCCATTATATCTTCGTTTGTGTTCATCAGAAAAAAGAAACTCAAACGGGTTTGGAAATGGTGAGTAAATAATGGCAGCATTTGGATTTTGGGGTGAACTATCCCTTTAACCATGCGCGTGACCACACTTGTATAAGCTTTGAATTGATTCTGCAGTACCTAGTTTGTCCACAGGGTGTCTACACTAGACTGCCCTGCTGAAAAATCCAGCTTAAACCAGCCTAGGCTGGTTGGCTGGTTTAAGCTGGATTTTTCAGCAGGGTGTGCCATTATTTTACAATGGGTAAAGAAATCAAGATGGAATAAAACAACAAAACAACACTGAAGCCTGCAAAAGCAATATAGGCTATTTCAGGAACACTTGTGTGAGGGGATTATTACGTATCAGTAAGTACAAAGTGATTATTATCGATCGTAACTTTTGTAAAGGGAAAGCGCAGACGCTGATGATTGGAAATCTTTCTAGTGTGCGTCTGTTAAGAATGTTTTAATGTGCTGTTTGTTTGATTTAACAAGTCGGTAACATTTTACTTTAAGGACCAGTTCTTGAGGGGAGGGGGGTCTTCACGTGAACAAAGCTGCTGCGCTCCTGCATCCAGGTTAATCATGAACAACTCAGTGCGCATGCGCTAGTTGCACTATCGCGGTCTGATCAATGACTGTAAAAAATATGGACGACGCGACAGCCCCTTTTCCCATTGAACGCCTTGAGGGCAAAACGCCTGCTTGACGGGCACAAACTGTCTCAAAAGACTGCTGAAATTGGAGCCTTGACATGCGCAGAAGGACTGTCTGATGGAGCCAGAGGAGGAGCCGCGAAAATAAGCGGAGTCGAGCTTCCAACCAAACGCTTTATGTAAAATCAACCACGCCCCCCGAACTTCTCACTCGACTGCCGGTGTCTGCACTGTAACAAACGCTCACTGATGTAAATAGAAGCACTTACATTTAAAAATACAGAATAATATACGGTTTAAAAACGGTGTGATGCAAGCTGTTATACTTTAATCAAAGCAATACATGCTGGACTGCAGAAATAAACGATCTTTTATACACTCTAGCCTGAATATGAGCACAAATAATATATTCTCTTATTGTTATATTTGTTGTTGGTATTTGTTATCTTCATAGGGGTAGAAATAACACTTGTAAAATATGAACAATAACATATAAACAACACATACATTTTTAGAAAGGTTTTTATTTTTAATTAGCCATCAACAGAACCCAAAATATAGCCTACACACCATAACGATTTACCATGCGGGAACAATCGTGCGTTTAGAAGATAAATACAGCAAGATTACTAAATATCAACAGGATATTTACACATCCCAACTCTGCAATTTGTCAATTTGTCAATTTTGTGCAAAAAAACTTTGCACTATTAATACAACGTCTATCTGCTGCAACATCACTAGTATATTGTTTATTCATTTTCGCTTGAATTGTTGATTTAATTTGTTTGCCTCCGTTTTCATTTGGTTTATTCGATGCCTTCATTATATCTGGCAACGAGGAATTTACATTCATTTTAATGTTAGCTGGAGTGTTCAAATAAAACGCCAACAGAAAATGATGTAAATAAATAATATCTAACATTTACAGCTCTATTAGGTTATATAAGATTCGATTTCAAGAACCTTATAATGATTTATAACAGCACATTCAGTAGATTACTTAATAACATGCCAAAACTTAAAATGCAGAGACGTCCTGTAAAGCAAGTTCAAATAACCATACAGGAGATCAACGTGGAGATTATTATTTAGACACAAAGAGAATTACTGCTAACGATCTCCTGTATACCCCGTACTTAAATTGGTTTATTTTATTGTGCAGTTTTATTGTCATTTTCGTATTTCTTAATTCTTGTGCACTACAAAATGTATTCAATTGTATTATTATTTAATACTTGTGCAATCGATCCAGGTTTATTGTTATTTATTTTGTCCTTTATTTAAATAATTGCTATGTATGCTGTTTGCATCTTTATTCAAAGGTTAAACTCAGTGCTACACTTTGCGTTCACATAGTAGCATGCGTTTGTTGTCATATCAACACAAATGGATGTAATAACGTTAACAAATGTGAGGGTTTTATATAATGAAGATTCAATCGCGCCAGCTCCGGGCAGCAGCGCACATAACCTACTCGCGGCGTCGCGGGCTGATTCCGGCTCGCATGCGGCAGCGCCGGCTCGCTCGGCCGCCGCATCTGGCTCAATTGACTCGGGCTGGAATCGGGCAGTGAGTCCAGGCATCCGGAGTAGGTCCAGCAGAGGTAGTCAGTCTGAGGGGTAAGTCTCCAGCAGGCAAGAACTGGCCCCAGTGTATTTTGCTATCTGGGTGGCTAGGCGTGTATCAGCAAACTAATAAAGCCCGAAAAAAGCTCTGACCTTAGCGAATAAACAGTGTTCCACCAGATCATGTATGTCAGAAACTGTAGTTTACTGCTGAACTCATTTTGTCATGGTAAAATATCACAGAAATCGAGTAATAACACTTCAGTCTCCTGCCGAAGCTCAGACGCCGCGCTTTGAGAAACTGTCAATCACAGCTGTCAATCACGATGACACGCCCAGCATTAAATTACTGCTAAAAACAAACTGTTTACAAAAATGAAGATCTGCACCTATTTCAGCACAATAACCAGTGCCTTAATCGACCAGAACCATCTTACGGGACATTTTATTGCAAGTGTAATTAATTTTTTTATTTGGGCTCAAGTCTCCTTCATTAACACGGAGGAGGCGGGCTTTATGACTTGTACTGCAGCCAGCCCCCAGGGGGCGATCTAACGGCCGAAATCTTCACTCAAACGCAGGCTTGCGGCACACTTGGGTCTGATTGTCTTAAACAAGGTTTATTTGCATCAAATACATAACATTTGTGCCAAACATCTCAACTGACGAACATATTAACAATAATACAACCGTATAGCCGAATTAAATGTATGCATTGGCATGTTACAGCCCTAATGAGTATGATTATGTCAAACTCTATTTAGATACATATTGCAATGATTTCGGGTACTTACTTAGCGATGTACGCACACATATATGCAGAGTCCTTAAATGCTCTGCTGCCTTGGACTCTATAATACCTGTTTTATAACTTTAAACTATCAACAACCACCACTGAGCGATATTCTAGCGATCGCTCTTCCCGCTCCGTGGTGGATTTTGGCATAGTCCATTTCACGTGAGATGGCGGGGGTGAGTGGAAGAAACCAAGTCGCGGGGGGAATATATTTTCTACAGAAATAATTTATGATTTCTTATGTGGCCCGGTAACGTTACCAATTGTTCCACAGACCGGTGGTTGGGGACCACTGCCTTAAAGAGCATATTGTAGGTTAAAAAAGGTTTCAAAAAGGTAAAATCGTTTGTTAAAGTACTCTATAATACCATAAAATACCATAAGTAAATTTCTGTGACTAAAAACGACTCCAAACGGCTTAATAATAAACTTTAACGTTTATTTTAAAGAAAATCTAGTTCCTACTTTACTCTTATGAAGTGGTACGAATTATTAGAAATTAAAAATCAAAGTGAATTTGTCTTTCTAGTCTGTACACTTTCGTTTTATTAAGTAGAAAATAGAAAATAAATATTTTAAATTAATGTAATGTGATGCTATGATTTACATGTTTCCGATTGGCTACTTCTACTTCATACTTAATGAGGGGGAGGGGCTTGCTGCTCA